CGAAAACGATTAGATACCGTTGTAGTCTCTTCTGTAAACTATGCCAATTGGGGATTGGTTCAGGATTTTTAATGACTGAATCAGCACCCGAAGAGAAATCTTTAAATGAGGTTCGGGGGGGAGTATGGTCGCAAGGCTGAAACTTAAAGGAATTGACGGAAGGGCACCACCAGGTGTGGAGCCTGCGGCTTAATTTGACTCAACACGGGGAAACTCACCAGGTCCAGACACAATAAGGATTGACAGATTGATAGCTCTTTCTTGATCTTGTGGTTGGTGGTGCATGGCCGTTCTTAGTTGGTGGAGTGATTTGTCTGGTTAATTCCGATAACGAACGAGACCTTAACCTGCTAAATAGACCAGCCGACTTTGGTTGGCTGCTGTCTTCTTAGAGGGACTATCAGCGTTTAGCTGATGGAAGTTTGAGGCAATAACAGGTCTGTGATGCCCTTAGATGTTCTGGGCCGCACGCGCGCTACACTGACTGAGCCAGCGAGTACTATCCTTTGCCGGAAGGCATGGGTAATCTTGTGAAACTCAGTCGTGATGGGGATAGAGCATTGCAATTATTGCTCTTCAACGAGGAATACCTAGTAAGCGTGATTCATCAGATCGCGTTGATTACGTCCCTGCCCTTTGTACACACCGCCCGTCGCTACTACCGATTGAATGGCTTAGTGAGGCCTTCGGATTGGCTATCGGGATCCCGCGAGGGAACCTGACTGCCGAGAAGTTGTACGAACTTGGTCATTTAGAGGAAGTAAAAGTCGTAACAAGGTTTCCGTAGGTGAACCTGCGGAAGGATCATTAGTGAATATAGCGTGTCTTCGGAGCGCGACTCTCACTTTACACACTGTGCATTCTTTCAGCAGATGGACAAGACTTTCGGGTCGAGTCCCTGCGCTCTCATTAAACACGAGTTAATGTATGTGAAAATTACAAAACAAAGAAAAACTTTCAACAACGGATCTCTTGGCTCTCGCATCGATGAAGAACGCAGCGAATTGCGATAAGTAATGTGAATTGCAGAATTCAGTGAATCATCGAATCTTTGAACGCATCTTGCGCTCTCTGGTATTCCGGAGAGCATGTCTGTTTGAGTGTCATGAACTCTTCAACCCACCAGTTTCTAGTTAAACTGCGTGGCGCTTGGATCCTGAGCGCTTGCTCCGCTTCTTCCAGAGCTCGTTCGTAATACATTAGCTTTCTTGACTCGAATCGGATTGACTCGGCGTAATAGACTATTCGCTGAGGACAAGCTTCGCGCTTGGCCGGCTCGATTGTCAGATGAAGGCTTCTAGTCTCGTCAATTTTTAAGATTAGACCTCAAATCAGATAGGACTACCCGCTGAACTTAAGCATATCAATAAGCGGAGGAAGAGAAACTAACAAGGATTCCCCTAGTAACGGCGAGTGAAGCGGGAAAAGCTCAAATTTGAAATCTGGCACTTTCAGTGTCCGAGTTGTAATCTCGAGAAACGTTTTCCGCGCTGGACTGCATAGAAGTCTGTTGGAATACAGCGTCATAGTGGTGAGAACCCCGTACGTGATGCAGATGCCCAGTGCTTTGTGATACGTTTTCGAAGAGTCGAGTTGTTTGGGAATGCAGCTCAAAATGGGAGGTAAATTCCTTCTAAAGCTAAATATTGGCGAGAGACCGATAGCGAACAAGTACCGTGAGGGAAAGATGAAAAGCACTTTGGAAAGAGAGTTAACAGTACGTGAAATTGTTGGAAGGGAAACGCTTGAAGTCAAACTTGCTTGCCGGGCAACCGGTTTGCAGGCCAGCATCAGTTTCCAGGGGCAAAAAAGCGTAGATTGAAGGTGGCAGCTCCGGCTGTGTTATAGCTT